CTCAAACTCATCTCCATTGAGTCAGTAATGTCATCCAACCATCTCATCCTCTGTCGTCCCCTTCTCCTCCTGCCATCAATCTTTCCCAGCATCAGGGTCTTTTCCAATGAGTCAGTTCTTTGCATCAGGTGACCAAAGTATTAGAGCTTCAGCTTCAGCATCAGTCCTTCCAGTGAACATTCAGGACTGCTTTCCTTTAGGATTGACTAGTTGGATCTCCTTGCAATTTAAGGGACTCTCAAGAGTCTTCTCCAACATCACAGTTCAGAAGCATCAGTTCTGCAGCACTCAGCTTTCTTTATAGTCCAACTTTCACATCCATACATGACTACTGAAAAACCATTGCTTTGACTAGATGGACCTTTGTTGGCAAAGTAATGTCTCTGCTTTTTAATATGCACCAATATACTTTAGGTACAGACAAATGCTGTTTGATTCTATTTACATGAGGTACCTAGAATAGTCAAATTCATAAAGTCAGAAAGTACACTGGTAGATGCCGGGGGGTGGGGTGGGGAAGGGGAATGGTGAGTTGGTGTTTAATGGAAACCGAGTTTTCCTTTAGAGAGATGAGTCTGGGAGTTGGATAATGGAAATAATGTGAATGTACTTAGTGTCACTGAGCTGTACAGAGATCAAATATGGTTAAAATAGTATGTTCTGTATTATGTGACTTGTACCACACACAGAAAAATTTTTTTAATGTTTTTAATGACCCTGACTAGTGCCCCAGCCCTAGAGATTCCATATCTAAACAAGCTCTTTACTCTGTTTTCCCCAGAAAAACAGGGATTAGCCCTGGGAATTCTTGCCCCAAAGGTGGGACCAGTCCCACGGCTGATGGCATATCTCTCCAAGCAGTTGGACCCAGTGGCCTCCAGCTGCCTCACATTTTGTGAGCGGGGCCTCCAGTCAGCCATTGGTGTCCCCTAATTTCTCGCAGATGGGTAGAAGCCTTTCCAACTAAGACCGAGGGAGCCCCAGAAGTAATAAAGGCATCACTTACGGAAATAATTCCTCAGTTGAGACTTCCATGGTCTTTACAGAGCGGCCACAGTCCCTTTTTTGTGGCTTGGGTCACCCAACTAGTCTCTCCAGCCCTGGGCATTTGCCCCCACCTCCACACTGCCTGGAGGCCTCAGTCGTCAGGGAAAGTGGAAAAGGTAAATCAAACTTTAAAAAGAACCCTGGCTAACCACTACAATATTGTAAAGTAATTAGCTTCCAACTAATAAAAATAAATGGAAAAAAAAAGAAAAAAAACCCTGGCTAAACTTTGTCAAGAGACACCAGAACCGTGGACAAAGCTTTTACCCACAGCCCTCCTGAGAATCAGGGCAGCATCCAAAACAGGGCTAAGGCTCAGCCCCTTTGAAATGACTGGTGGTAGGTGGGCCCTTTGTTCCTTCAGATATTTCGGTGGACACCAGAACCAGTGAGCTCACTAAGTAACTAAGTAAGTGAGGCCACGCAGTCGTGTCCGACTCTGTGCGACCCCGTGGACTGCAGCCCACCAGGCTCCACTGTCCCTGGGATTCTCCAGGCAAGAGTACTGGAGTGGGTTGCCATTTCCTTCTCCAGGGGATCTTCCAACCCAGGGATCAAACACAGGTCTCCCACATTGCAGGCAGAGGCTTTAACCTCTGAGCCACCAGGGAAGCCCATAGTTACCAAGTAACTGCTGCTGCTAAGTCACTTCAGTCATGTCCAACTCTATGCGACCCCATAGACGGCAGCCCACCAGGCTCCGCCATCCCTGGGATTCTCTAGGCAAGAACACTGGAGTGGGTTGCCATTTCCTTCTCCATACTAAGTAACTAATCAGGGACAAATCCAACAGGTGATTTCATGGGGAGGGGTGTGGTTCCCTACCTTGAGGCAGCACTTTGTAACTTGTCAGATATTCTATCCCCTCTGACCAGGGTCACAGGGGATCCCTTAATTCCATAGCAGATGTAGTGATGGGGACAGATAGCCCTGGACTGTCTCCCAGCTGAACAGGGAGGGTCTATGCAGTTATCAATAAATTGTGCTGCACCTGCCTCAACACCACTGACCAGATGGAAGAAGGTACCCAAAAGACATATGAACAGGCCCAAAGGCTACACACTTTCAGGAAGGGTAATCCCAATGCCAACCCCATATGACCTGTAGTCAGAGGGGTGTTATCAAATACAACCTGGTTCCTGCCCCTGCTTGGATCTCTGATCACAATAATGGGTTTGCTGATTTTTGGCCCCATCCCTTTTTAACCTGCTTGTTAAGTTCGTTTCTTCAGGTTACAACAGTGTCACCTACAGATGACAATATACCAGGGTTTTCAACCCATCCTTCATGACAGTGGGCACCACCAACATCCACGGGACGGGGCTTCAGCCTCCATCTACTCCCCGCTCTCTATCTCTGCCACTGTCAAGGACCCGAGACCTCATCTCTAACAAAGGACAAGGTGATCTGGGCCTCACAGGCAGGCACAAGGCCCCCGCTCAGCTTGAGGCAGCTCCAGAAGACAGATCATGGAAATACAGGAAAAATTCCTGTATTATCTAAAAATATCTGAAGGGCGCAGATTCCTTGAGAAGGGAAATGTTAGAGCAGACCATTAGCCAGACATGAGCAGAGAAGGAGGCATGGGTCAGGTGACCATAATACATCTTGCAATGACAGGGGTCCTGGAGCAAACACATAAAAGTGGGAACTTCTGGGCTAACAGGAGACCATACATCTTGTGAGAACAAGGGCCCTGAGGCAAAGAAAGAAATGCAGGAACCTCTGATCCGAATGCAACCTTTTTCTCACTATGCCCACATTAAAACAGAATTTAGCATTGCACAGAGCACTACCCACCATGCACCTGTGCCATGACAGATCCGAGCAAGACTGCATAAGGACAGAAACTCACCATCCTTTTGGGAAGGTGGAGCTGGGACAATAACCCAGAAATTACCCCCCAAACCCCTTCCTCCTGGATAAATATTCCACCCAATCCTTCATACCCCATATAACCAGCTTGCCAAAAGGACCTCACTGTGTCCCTTGAGCCTGCCCACACTCCCTCCTGAGAGTGTACTGTCACTCAATACATCTTTGCTTACTTGGCCTCCGAGTCTCATCTCCCAAATTCTTTCTGCAAGAAAACAAGAACCTACCGTCTGGCCACACAAAGACGGCCACAGACAATTTATAAATGAATCAGTACAGCTGTATTCCAGTAAATCTTCATTTATAAAAACAGACAGATGGCCTGTGGGCAGTACTTTGCTAAGCCCGGATTTCTCCTACATCTCAGCTTCATCTTCTGGATTATTTTAGTGGCTTTCTCAGGTTTCCTGCTCTATTGTGTCTTCCTGGGGCTCTAGCGTGTACATCGCAAACCGCACTGGGATGATGTACAGTAGTTTAAACAAGAGTAGGATAATGTCTATTAACTTTCCCATCTGTGTCCAGGACTTGCTCGATTCTTACAGAAATATAGTTGATCATTTGCAGAAAATAACATTCCAGTGGCCATTAGGTATCTTTGCATCTCTTTTGCCTTAATATGTTTCACATTATTTTATAACTCTTTAAGTTTGCCTATGTTGAGGCCAGCTTCCAAACCTCACCCCCTTCCGTCTTTTGACTTTGCCAGTGTCAGCTCACAGAGCTGGATACAATCAGTGGATGTGGGGATGTGGCTGAGTTTTCTTTGCAAATTACTTGTAGGAATGATAAGACCAATCTTAGCATTAATTCCTGTATTGTCTACTGTCTGCCCTTCTCTTTCCAAAGCTGTACCCATTTAGTCAGATGCATTGTTACTGTCTTTCTGAACTACTTTTCTATTTCTTCTGAAGCATTCCCCTAAATCTGCAGTGATTCAGTCTTTTAAATAACAAAAATTTAAGTAGATGTTAACAGTTAATATGTTTTCCCAGCTCATTCAATGGTATGCTGGTGAAGAATTTCAAGATGTGTCATTTTACCCACTTGTGTTATACATGTGCCATGGCATCTTTTAGCTCCGACTTTACAGTTCTTTGTTTAATGAAAGCTTGGTGAGAAGACTGAAGCTGGGAACAAACCTGCATTTCCTAGTGTGGGTCCGTGTTGGGTCATGTCAGCGTCTCCACAGAGAGCTTGGAAATCTGTAGAGTCCAAGTTGTGATTCCAATGCAGTCAATTCCCCACGTTAAACATCAAGACTCACCTGCATGCCATGTGCCTTCTATGAAATAAGCATATCACGATTCCTACTATACCATGAACGTAAAGGCCACAGTCTAGCTCTTGACCTGATTCTCACATTTGTTGATTGCAAACTGCTCATGTGAAACGTGAAAGCAGGAGGTAACAGCTGACTTAGTTGCACTGGGTCCCATGCAAAGAGCACCTGTACAAAAGGTGAGATCCCCCCTCGTCCTCTGCTGGGCGACCTTAAGCCTGTTCACGTAACCTCTGTGCTTCCCTCCACTGCCTCTTGCTTTGCAAGGTTGTTCTTGTGGATAAAATGAGATACACTGAAAGGACACGAAGATGGTAATAATAAGAACACTGTTCCCATACTCCTAGATGGACATCACACTGGTCCTGCAGGTGAATAAAGGGGGTTCTGGCTGGACCCCTGGCCACCATAAAGGAAATTCTCTTCTTTGATTTATGCGTCTGCATGCTCCCCCTTACACTGTCCTGGAAGTCAGCGTTCATCTAGATGCCCCCCGTCCCTGGTACATGTAGTATGTGATCATACTGCTAGACAACCTCAGGACTGGGTCATGGGCTTGCCTGCTCACACCCTCTCACCACCAAAGCTGCTTCTCAGAAGGGACGTCTGGCTTAGAACGTCACTTCCTAGAGAAGTGGCAAAAAGTGAAGGGACTTGTAAAGAATAAGCCCTCTGCAGAGTCTGCAGCTCCATTCGACTGCCACAGGGGTCCAAACGGTTCATGTTTGGTGTTTTGTTTTTTAATGGATTGATGTGTCAGGGTGACATTTGACAGTTCACTGCTCTAACATTACAGAAAGCAAAGTTATCAGATGAGCCCGTACAGGCAAAAGAAGATTACACTAAGTTTAACTCCAAAGATTTCAAGACTGTGAAGGTACGTGTCCGGGTGTTAGCGGCACACTCCTGAATCCCGTGGCTGATGCTGCTGCATGGGGACTTCCAGGAACGACTGCATGCTTGACTGTGATTTTATCGTTTTAACCATTAAGAATTATTAACTTGAGTTTCAGTGACTTTAGAACTATTTCAGAATTGTGAGTGACAGTGAAAGTATCAAGCAAGGAAGACCTTTGTACAGATAAAGAAAGGCAGAGTTATTAGCAAGAGTGTGCCTAAGCTTCGTAGTATAGTATATCCAGAGTGGTAGGATGGAGCAGAGGAAGGGACTTCAAAGGTAATGTTTTGTCAACTCAACTGCCTAGTAGCGTCCCAGAAATTATGATAATAACAATTATTAACAACCCCATAATTCAGCAGTCACCTCAGCAAATATTTTCATAACATTCCTTACTAAGCTGTATCCTTCACATCATTATAAATACATATGTAGCTTTCAGAATTGGCATACATATGTATTGGAGTTGTGCCCTTTTCATTTAGCTCTGTATTGTAAAAATATTGATGTCATTAAGCTTTCTTTGAAAAATTATAAATGGTCTCATGGTATTTAGTCACTTATTTTATTTCACCATGTATAATATAATCTATTTAATTCCCCTATTTTTGGACACACGTTATTCTGCTTCTTTTGTCTTAATGGAGTGATAAAACATTCTTACTTACAGTCTGCATGTCTATTTCATTAGACACAATTTAAAACTAAGAGCAAAGGCTTAGAAAACATGAGCTCTTTCCATCATTACTGAGACACATACATAGCTAAGAAGCTTTCCAAAAAGGTAGCAGAAATTTATCCCCCCAGCCATTACTGCTGATGAGTGTTCATCTCACAGTCTTGACAGCATTGAGTATTGGTTTTATTCTTGAGAATTTTGCCTGTCTAATTAGGTTACATTTCTTTGGGTAGAAAGGTTGTTTTTCCAAATGCTTATTATCTATCTGCAGTTTTACTGGTTGTCAGTTCATGTCTCTTGCCTGATTTTACATTAGGATAGTGATGTTTTTCTTGTTGATTTGTAAGAGCTCAATCTAAATTAAGGCTATTTACACTTTTCATGACATATAAAATACAAATCATTTTCCAGTTGTTTTAGCCTTTTCATTCAACTTTTGAACTGTTTTTTAAGCTTTTCTGAGGACTGAATATGGAAGTTTTTTTTTTATGATTTTCTCATTATTTTTAAACTTAGGCCTTGCCTGCCCCAAGATAAATTAATTCCACTTAGATTTTAGCAACACTTACTCTCCTTTAGGTTTCATGGTTTCTAGAAATTGTATTCTTTACATGTAATTTATCTAGGCATGGCATATCAGGGAATAATCCAACTTGAGATCTGGCTCAATAGCTGGTTATGTCAGGGCCTTCTGTGAGCAAGGATGTTCTTGAGTTTCTCCGTGAGGAATATTTCCGCCCCACCCTTCTGAGTACTGCTTCCCAGCGTGTCGCCTTGGGCACAGCACCAGTGAGCTGCGAGGTTGAACCAGGATGTGAGTTAAGTGCAGGGGACAGAGGATCACTTGTCTCAGAGAGACTGTCCCTCTTCCCCATCCAGCCAAAACATAAGTCTAGTAAATGATAAGTGACAGAATGTAAGAAGCAAGTTTCCAGGGATCACATACTGACTGTGCCCTTAAAAGATACTTTGGCAGTGACTTTGTCTCACAGCTCGCCGGGAGACAGACGATTTCTTCTTTGCCGAATCCCGTCACTTATGCGTCTGCTGAACACTGAAGTACCATCAGCTGCTGTTTCCCTTCTGCCAGTGCTTTGTTATAGGACATGCATGGCAAAACAAAACCAAACGAAAACAGTGACCAGGACGAGATAGAGTTTTAAAAGACAGAGTTATTTGGAGCCAGCTTTTTGGAAGGTGTTTTTCGTGGTTGGAGGAAAGGGGACAGCCATCCTGCTGGTCCTGGGCGCTCTGCGGCACAGGTTATCCTGTGCATGTGACCGCCCTGTCCTCGGTGTCCCAGAGAGCCTCCGAAGGGAGTCAGGTGGTAGCAGGCTGTGAATTATTCATCACGTGATGCAAGGCTGTAATGCCTCCCTCTGACAGTTGCTGCCTGTGTCAGTTCCATTGTTTGTTATTGCACTTAATACACCCTCCAGAATTTTCTCCCCGCAAGTAAACCATCAGTTGTAACATTCCACTCCTTAGAAGGCAGCAGTTTTATCTCCTGCCTGTTGACATACTTTGTCTCAAGTATGAATTCTGAGCAGAAATCAGAACTTTTATAAAGAATCACTCATGAGGCATGTTTTTAGCAGCATGCTTACCTCCCTGAATGAACCTTGAGACATGCATGGTCTTGTCTGATTTGCATGTGCGATTTATAAGTGTTACATTTGTAATGATTTTTCTCTCTTATTTTCATTAACAGAAAAATAGCAAAATGACCGCAGCTCAGAAGGCTTTGGCTAAAGTTGACAAGAGTGGAATGAAAAGTATTGATTCCTTTTTTGGTGCAAAACATGTTAAAAAAAAATAGGAAAGATTTGAACCTTTGAAAGTGAAATTGAGCAAAAATACCTGCCTTCTTCATGTCCCACTTTCATCCTTCCTCCTTGCTACTATGCTTCCAAACCCTTAATTACCACCTTTTGAAAAAAGGTAGGATGAGGGCAGTTTTCAGATTCACTTGAACATTTCTTTGTATTTGAATTTTGTGTTTCCTGAACAAAATATGGGAAAGTAATTGTGAAACATTATGGCTTATAGCCTTTGGAGTTTTATTTGACATCATGAAAAGTAATCAAGTGAGTAGAATTAACCTTTAGCATCACAGATTCCTCAATAAACTGACATGTGACAATGTTTGAGTGTGTGCTTGTTATTTTATGCCACTTTGCACATGGTAGCTTTGGCAATATGGTTTTCAGTATACAGACAGAAATCAGATTACACAACTATCAGATTAACTACTAATTTTTAAAAGTCTTTAATTTTTGGTAAGTCTTTTGTTTAGTATATTTTTCTGTTTTATTAATATATATTCTTTGTAGAAAACAGATAAAAGTATACAATAGAAATTATAATCTCCTGACTAGTACCTGAAGATAATATAATGCATTTTCTTCTATAATAATTTTTAAATGAATTATAGTAGTAATTTTATAACCTTTTTTCTTGATGTCATTTGATGAGCATTTTCCTAGGCTACTATTCTTCATAAATATACTTTTTACTGACATTAATTTTTAATTATTTGAGTGTTTCATTGTTTAATAATCATGGCCCTATTTTTTTAGATGTGGGTTTACTGATTCATAACCAGGTTTTTCAAGTATATACTTGTGGGAATATATTTCACAGAAAGGTTACAGGATCTTGCACTCTAACAAATGATGGTATGTATCTTTGAACAGTATCTTTGAAGTTAGTGGGGAAAAAAAGCATATTAATGTGACTTTAACTTATATTTTCCTGATTAGTAATGTTAATTGAAGAAAAACCCCCACAACCTACAAGTTGAGAGTTATGTTTTATTCGAGGCCCTCCTTACAGTTTACCTTGAATATCCTTGATTAGATTACCTTTTGAGCACCCACAGAAGTAATGCTGTGTCTTTCTTAATGCACTGTGTCAAGTCGAGTCACATGACCCAATACTAGAGATGTTAACTTTAATCACTTAATTAAGGTGATGTCTGCCAGGTTCATTCACCATAATGTTATTTTTCTCTTTGCAGTTAATAAGTAATTTGTGGGCAAATACTCTGGGACTTAGAAGTACTCTATTCCTTATCCAGCACTCACCTACATGTTTTAAAATAAACCTACTAACAGTTTTTCCAACTCCATCATTACTTCCATATTCCATATTTATTCCTTTTACATTTAGTTGGCACTCCATTTATTTATTCATTTATGACTTTATATCAATATGGACTTGCAGGTTATTTTATCCAGTGAGTTAAATTACAATATTCTGTTCCTCATATTTCCCAGAAGGGTCAGCGAGAGTCCCTTCAAGCTGGCCAGTGAATCTTTTTGCTGCGTTTCCCTCATTTTTAAATACTTCCATTATTTCTTTTGCAAGAGGGTATCCCAGGCTCTTGATGTATTTTCCCTATCCAAGCCCTGGAATCAGCCTTTTTCCTAAGAAGTCAGGGTTCCTTTTAGAAAAGAATGGTATTTAGAAACCAAGATCTAGGCAAGAGATGTGCTCATTGCTACTATTGCTCTGTGTGTGTTTAATTTTTTTGTAGATTTCCTTTATCATGCTAAAGAAGCTCTCTTTCGTTCACTGAGAACAGAATCATGAACGGGTATTGAATTTTGTCAAATAATTTTTCATCATCTATTGATGATCACACAGTGTTCCTTTAGTAAAGGAATATCTTTCAGTAGGGCTACCCAGGTGGAAAAGAACCCGTGTGCCGATGCAGGAGACACAGGAGAACGTGGGTTCCATACCTGGGTCAAGGAAGACCCCCTGGAGGAAGAAATGGCAATCCATTCCAGTATTCTTGCCTGGGAAATCCCAAGAACAGAGGAGCCTGCCCATGGTGAAGAGGAACTAAAGAGCCTCTTGATGATGGTAAAAGAGGAGAGTGAAAAAACTGGCTTAAAACTCAACATTCAAAAAACTGATATCCCATTACTTCATGGCAAACAGAAGGGGGGAAAGTGGAAACAGTGACAGACTTTATTTTCTTGTGCTCCAAAATCACTATGTGTGGTGACTGCAGCCAAGAAATTAAAAGACGCTTGCTCCTTGGAAGAAAAGCTATGGCAAACCTAGACAGCCTATTAAAAAGCAGAGACATCACTTTGCCAACAAAGGTCCACTTAGTGAAAGCTATAGTTTTCCCAGTGGTCATTTATAGATGTGAGAGTTGGATCATGAAGACTTGAGTGCTATAGAATTGATGCTTTCAAATTGTGCTGGAGAAAACTCTTGAGAGTCCCTTGGACAGCAAGGAGATCAAACCAGTCAATCCTAAAGGAAATCAACCCTGGATATTCATTGGATGGACTGATGCTAAAAGCTGAAGCTCCAATACTTCGGCCACCTGATGGGAAGAGCCAACTCATTCGAAAAGACCCTGATACTGGGAAAGATTGAAGGCAGAAGGGGGCCACAGGATGAGATGGTTGGATGGCATCACCAACTCAGTGGACATGTATTTGAGCAAAATCCAGGAGATAGTGAAGGACAGGGAAGTCTGGTGTGCTGCAGTCCAGGGGGTCACAAAGAGTCAGACATGACTGAACAACTGAACAACATCTTTCAATATGTGAAATATAATGATTGATTTTTGAATGTTGAACTTCACATTCCTGGGATAAACTCTACTTGGTCTTTTCATATTTAGTATTGTGTTTTACTGCCTCATATTTTGTTAAGGGTTTTTGTATCTCTGTTCATGAGGGATATTGATCTAGTTTTCCTTATTTGTAATGATTTTGTCTAGTTTTGGTATCAGAGTAACACTGGCTTTATTAAATGAGTTGGGGAATATTATCTCATCACCTGTTTTCTGAAAACGTTGTGAGATTAGTATTGTTTTTATGTTGGACGTAATTCACCAGTAAAGCCATTTGGCCTGTGATTTTTATATTTTCTGAGAAATTTTTTAACTACTAGTTCAGTTTCTATACTAGACGTAGAACTGTTCTGATTTTCTCGTTTTTCATGTGCCAGTTTTAGTTTTTAAAGCAAGGTATCTATTTCATCTAGTGTCAGATTCATTGGCAGAAGTTGCTTTTTATATTTTTATATCTGTGAACCTGTAGTGATAGTCCTTCTTTCATACCTGCTTTGGTTATTTATGTCTCTGTTTTCTTGATTATTCTCATCACATTGGGAACATTTCTGGCCAGTATTTCTTTAAATACTGTTCTGTTCACCTGTCCCCCTTTTTCTCTTCACCCCCTTGTTTTTTGGGACTCCAATCACAGGTATGCTAAAACACTTGATGTCCCATAGATCCTTTCATTGATTTCTGTTCTTCATGTTCAATTTTACCTTGTCTTTAGTGTTTCATCTTCTATTAACCTCAGTTAGTGAATTTTTATTTCATATATTGGAGTTTCTTCTCTAGATGTTCCATTTTTTTTTAATCTTCCCATTTCTCTCCTCATTGTGTTTTCCTGCAAATAGTTTGTTATAATTACAATGCATGTGTGCTAAGTCACTTCAGTCATGTCCAGCTATTTGTGACCCTGTGGACTATAACTCGCCAGGATCCTCTGTCCATGGAATTCTCTAGGCAAGAATGCTGGAGTGGGTTGCCATGCCCTCCTCCAGGGGATCTTCACAACCCAGGGATCAAAGCCCTGTCTCTTATATCTCCTACATTGGCAATAGCTGCTTAAATCAATGACATTTCTGTGCTTATTTCTTCCCTTTTGTCTTTATATTTTGAAATAATTCTAGACTTATAGAAAAGTTGCAAAAAAGTAGAGTTTACATATACCCTTTACCCAGCTTCCTCTAACCATAACATCCTATGTAACCAGTACAGTTAAAACCAGGATCCTTACAGTAATTCAGTTCATTTCGGTTAGTCGTGTCCGACTCTTTGCGACCCCATGAATTGCAGCACGCCAGGCCTCCCTGTCCATCACCAACTCCCGGACTTTATCCAAACTCACGTCCATTAAGTCAGTGATGCCATCCAACCATCTCATCCTCTGTCGTCCCCTTCTCCTCCTGCCTTCAATCTTTCCCGGCATCAGGGTCTTTTCCTATGCATCAACTCTTCACATCAGGTGGCCAAAGTATTGGAGCTTCAGCTTCAACATCAGTCCTTCCAATGAACACTCAGGACTGATCTCCTTTAGGACGCACTGATTGGATCTCCTTGCAGTCCAAGGGATTCTCAAGAGTCTTCTTCAACACCACAGTTCAAAAGCATCAGTTCTTCATCACTCAGCTTTCGTCACAGTCCAACTCTCACATCCATACATGACCACTGGAAAAACCATAGCTTTGATTAGAAGGACCCTTGTTCCAAAGTAATGTCTCTGCTTTTTAATATGCTGTCCAGGTTGGGCATAACTTTCCTTCCAAGGAGTTTTGTTTTAATTTCATGACTGCAATCACCATCTGCAGTGATTTTGGAGCCCCCAAAAATAAAGTCTCTCACTATTTCCACTGTTTCTCCATCTATTTGCCATGAAGTAATGGGACCAGATGCCATGATCTTAGTTTTCTGAATGTTGAGCTTTAAGCCAACATTTTCACTCTCCTGTTTGACTTTCATCAAGAGGCTCTTTAGTTCTTCTTCACTTTCTGCCATAAGGGTGGTGTCATCTATGTATCTGAGGTTATTGATATTTCTCCCGGCAGTCTTGATTCCGGCTTGTGCTTCATCCAGCCCAGCATTTCACACGATCTACTCTGCATATAAGTTAAATAAGCAGGGTGACAATATACAGCCTTGACACACTCCTTTTCCTACTTGGAACCAGTCTGTTGTTCCATGTCCTGTTCTAGCTGTTGCTTCCTGAGCTGCATACAGATTTCTCAAGAGGTAAATCA